GCATCTTAGTATGGTTGTGGCTTAAAATGATCTCATCAGTAAAATTGGAGGAATTAACTGCTTTATGAGGTCTCTGGTGTCTCTAAATTCTGTGTTTAAAATGAACAAGTAACCATGAGACGGGCTTTTAAAAAAGGTTATAGGAAAAAAAAGATAATGATGTGTGGAATAGAAAGAAAGGGGGAATGTGCTGAAAGCAGGCCAGGAAAATAATGTACTCATATATTCCATTGACTTGATGATTGTTGTAAAAATTAGATAGTCATAAAAGTCTACATAAGAGGAATATGCCTTTTGGCAGCTATGTTTTCTTACTAGTAAGTCAAAACTTAGAGAATGATAAATGGAAAATAGAGAAAACTTTTTTCTAGATTCAAATGATAAGGAAACAACTAATAAATATGAATCTAACCAAAGCTCATTAGATCTCTTGTTGCCTTGAGTTAACTGGCCTCTTTGTGAAAAGCTGATTGCTATTTAGATTGTATGTAATAATACCATCGATTGTAGAAGACGATGTTCAATACATTGTAAAATGTTAAATGGAGGAGGATTCAAATAAATTTTTATTATGGAAAATTCCAAACATACACAGAGTAGAGAGAATAGTCTAATAAACCTCCATGCACCCAAACTTATTCTAAAAATTGATCAAGTCACAGCTGACCAGCTTCAGCCATGTATTTCCCCTTTTCTTCCAGTCCCTAGATTCTTTTGGAAGCAAATCTCAGCTATAATATCAAGGAAGATTTTTGTCAGTATTACTAATATAAGTCAGATTAATTTAAGTGATTTTAATGAAAATATTGCTTTCTGTTAGAAATGATGCTTTCAGTCCTTCCAGTGCTTCATATTGAAAGTGACAAAGCCTGAGAATAGAGGTGCTCAGGGCTGGAGGAAGAAATATCCATCAGGTGTTCTTCTGTCTTTCTGCGCCTGTTTGTCTGTCTGTCTGTGGTGTGGCTTTCTCTTTGTTGTTACTCCAAACATACGTGTACCAATTTTATTTAATTTCATCACACTTATTTATCATCTAATTCTTAAAGGGACTAAAAACTACACTTAACATTTCATTGCTCTAAAATTATTTTATTATCCCAAATATTTTCTGTGTTTGGCTACATCAAGATCATTGCTAACTTTTAATAAAGGTGTATTCTATTAATTAAAGAACACCTTTGTATCACATTATTTGAAACTTATCAAGAGAGGCAAACAATTTTATTCAATGAAGAGCAAGGAATTTTACTTGTAGAGGACTCAGTCCAGGTGAATCTATATCTACACAGTGAAGCTTTTTTCTCCCTTCTCTCCTTTTGTTTTTGAAGCTAAGAATATCCCCAATTTTCACCTTGTACTCTCCCCACAAAAGGCAGATTTTTGCCCCCGGTACAGTTAACTATTCCATTTGCTGAAGGTAGAAAAGAAAACAAATTGAAAAATCAGTATTAAAACTCCCTTCTCCTGTTTTTAGAGACTTAATTTAAAAACACATTCTGTTGACATAAGAGAAAAGCAATGAAAATTCCTTTTATGTTTCTTCAATATTCTTTACCTTATAAGTAACTGTGACTTTTAAAGAAAAACATTTACAGAGTTTTTCTTAAGTAACAAGAGGACCATTACAATTTCTCTCTCTCTCTCTCTCTCTCTCTCTCTCTCTCTCTCTCTCTCTCCCTCTCTCTTTCAGGTCTTATATGTCTTTAAGAAAGTTAAAAATTATTGCCAGTTCTATTGGTTCACATCTTTTAGTTGAGTAATGACTTGACTTGGATTTTTAACTTTATTTATTAAAATAGATCTTTTTTTCCCTTCCAACCACTGCTGAAATTGACTAAATTCTCCTTTTTTAGTTTGTAAACATTCTTCACTGTGAGTTCAATTGAAGGTCACTGTTTCCAGTGAACCTCTCATTTCCTTTCATGTTGTGTGGCGGTCTGTCATCTTTTAGTGGTTTTGATGTGGTTCATCTTTGAGAGCCACAGGAATTCCACCCAGAGTTCATTTATCTGCTAGGAAATAAAGAACCTGCTGGTGCACATTTGCCCTGTTTTGCCTGGGTTATAAAAGAAGGCAATCTTTAATGAGGTAAGTCATGAGTAACGTATAATGATTTTGGAAGTCAGTTTTGGTGTGAACAAAGTGGAAAGTAGACTTGAAATGAGACCACCTCTCATTCATCTGTCTGTCTGTCCATTTATTCACCCATCCAGTCCTATAGGTTCATTATTTAAATGTTTAGACATTTTCCTGATTTTTCCTTTTTCTAATGAATTATATTGGAATAAAATGTAAAACACTCAAAACACTCAAAATCAAGATTGATGATTACTTTTGCGATATTTATTGAGCCTGATTCTTTCCCTCTATGAAGATAACCTTGTTCATTTAGTTTGCTTAGGAAAAGGGGAAGAATTAAATAAAATGAGAGGTAATTTCTAATCTTATTCTACAAAATCTAAACCAAATCTGAAAGTTAGGTTAGGTTTACATGAAATGTGGGGAATGCTTGTGTGTGTGTTATGTTTAAATATAAAGAATAAAAAAAATAAAACTTAATTTAACCATAAGCATATGCCACTGTTTGGAAGCCAGTTAACTGTTATAGGCAATATTGGTTTGATTGAACCAAATCAGTTGTTTGGGAATCACATCATTTTTTCCTATGGAATTCAGCTTCACTCTCCCCCCCTTTCCCTTCTAATCACGCTTGGGTGTTTGGAAGCCCTATTTTGCTGTCTTTGCCCATAGCAGATGAGTTCTCACTTGGGGGTCTAGGGGTTTGTAGCTGGGTTGTGTACAAAGACTAGAGCAGTTCTCTCTGGCCAAAACACTCTAGAAGAGGATTCTGTCTCTTGCTCTGATAAAGAAAAAAGGCTTTTATCTGTGCCTCGCTGAGAGCATGACCATGACAATAGCCAAGCAGTTCCCAAGAGTGCCGGATTTGGAATCTGTGGCCAGAAAAAGAGAAAGAAAAAGACTTTCCCCTGTATCTCAGGTGTTGAAAGCCCTGGGCTGGAAAGGGAAGATTTGATTAGCACTGGTCTTCTTGAGAACATTCTAGTCACAGAAGGAAAATACATCTCATGGTATCGTATACAAAAATATTACAAAAGCTGGCATGATTGGGCTCACTCTTTAGGAAAAATGCATCCATTAGAATACGGATGGATTTTAGCTTTTTAGGTAGTCTATATAAACTTATATATGTGAATAGTTCACAATTAATGGAATGAATTTAGGCTGTTATCCAATTTGAGCCATTCACACTCAAATTTACTTTTCCCTCTGACTTCTACTTGGGATCTATACTTTTAAAGGATAGGAATCACATCTATTTAGGTGTATCTAAACCCAGCTTATGTGGGTGTAGACTTAATCTGTTTTCAACAAAAACCTATGTCATAAGCTACACAAAAGGAAATGTGATAGTTTAAAAGGACTTTGAGAATGGGTAAAGCTTTTCTTTAGTTTAGAACTAATATATGGTGCTGTTAGATTTGAGTGCTGTGTCAAAGAAAAATTATATTTCTTCTCTGTGGGTATAGAGGGAAGTTAGAAAATCACTCAGTATGAGTAGAAATCAGAAGAAGCTTGCTGAGTTGAAAGTGACAAGGTAGCAAACATTGAAATGCCTTTCTAGAATTTATTGAAGGCTTTATGGCTAACTATTGGAAACCTCATTATTGTTATTATTTATTATTATTATTTTGATCTGTCAACTTTAATATGCCATTCTAACTTAAAGCTTTAACTCATATTTCTGTCCTGCTTATAGTTGTGAAAAATTAGATGCTAACAAAGGAAGTTATGGAGTTACTTTGTCTAGAGCTGTGTTTTTCAGTATAGTAGCCACTAGCCACATGTGGTCATTTAAATTTAAATGAATTAAAATTCAGAATTAGCTTTTTCAGTCTCACAAGCTTTATGAGAAATGGTCAAAAGCTCAGGTAGCTCGTGGCTAACCTATTTGACAGTGCTGGCCTAGAGGTTTAAAAGAGTTTCAAGTCTTTATAGGCTCCTGCCTGCCCTTGTTTTGCTACTTTGTTTAGGAGGAGGGGAAAAACTAAATGAGATAGAGGTGATTTCTTAACTTATTCTTTAAAATCTAAACCAAATCTGAAAGTTAGATTGGTTGGTGCAAGACCATACATTTCTACCATTGTGATCTATCACAGCAAATATTATTACCATAAAATCCTTGGATGGGTAAACTCTTTTGCTCTAAGAACTGTTGATTGGTGTGTTGAGATTTTTGTGATTGTGAACAGCATAACACAAATGTAAACTCTTAGCTGAGACTCCACGGATGTCTAGCAATAATTCACCACAGTAAGAGAATTTTCATAGCTTTTTTAGGTCTTTGTAATGTGCACTGACTAAATTGAAAAAAAAAAATAGAGTAGGAAATTGAAGTGGGCACTGTCTTGATTCTTATTTCTGGATAGATCAGGGCGTCCAGTCATTCCACTGGTATACACTGAGCACATACCGGGTGCTTCATACAGACTGAGCTAAACACTGACTTTACAAAGATAAGACATGTTCCCTGCTGTCAGGGAACTCAGTACTTGGAATGGAAAATAGACATGTAAAGAGATAATTATAACCCAATTAGTTAAGTGCAATAATAGAATTATAACTATAGATATATAAAGTCAAGATATGTAAAAAAATATAAATACGTATTTTTGGACTTAAGTGATTTATTACTAGGTTTTTACATTGGAGTTCTTTGTCCCTCACCTGTTGAAAAAGTAAGGACCTCGCAGTTTGACACTTGCTTTTGGTCAACTTATTCTACAGATGCAAACCTTTAGGTTTAGATTGCAGCACGGTGGGGGGTGGGGGGGGGCAGAGCTGTGTGTATGGAGTTTTCTGGAGCTGGTTGGAAGCCAGAGGCGTGTGTGTGTGTGTGGGGAGGGGTGAAGTGTCTTCTGCCCACAGCGCTTGGTGTGTGATGGGTATGCCCGCTCACAGCCTTCTCCATGTCTCCCCAGCTCTCTGCGCCATTGTTGCCACCATCTGGTTCCCTGTGTGCGCCCACCGCGAGACCACCATCGTGAGCTTTGGCTACTCCCTGTACGCCGGCTGGATTGGTGCCATTCTCTGCCTCGTGGGTGGCTCTGTCATCCTCTGCTGCTCTGGAGATGCGCAGGCCTTTGGTGAAAACCGTTTCTACTATTCTTCGGGCTCCAGCTCCCCCACTCACGCCAAGAGTGCCCACGTATAAGAGAGCTGCCGGCCTGCCCACGGAGGTGCTGTAGATGCTGGGCCCAGGGCCCTAGGTTTGCTCACCACAGATGGGAGAAGCCCATTCCTCTGTCAGGCTCCGAAGCCAAAGGTCTAGAAAAGCATCCTGTCTGGCATTTTGTAGTCTTAACACCCTCTCCCATTTTGTTGCCTTAAAAAATAAATCTTTAGCTCAGATAATGCCCACACGGTTTTCTCATGGTTTTGCCCACTGTTAGCTCTAGGGCATTCTTTTGTTGCCCGTAAAAATTACACCTCTATGTATTTTCGCTCTCTCTCTTTAAATTTCAAACATCTTGCAAACATTGCTGAGTTGGGTATGGGGGAGAGAAAGAAAAGACACTTTTCAAACTGTTGTTACAGATGACACTGGGAGCCTCATAAAGATGCCTCTCTGTTCCCTGCCTCCTCTTCAGCTCCGAGGTCACTTAGTCATAAGCTAGAAAAAGATAGAATGGGGACATGGGCTGGGGGAGGGAAGGGAGTCCTGGAACTTTCCCTCCAGGGGAAAGTTTCCCTTTTGTAAGTTGAGGGCAAAGGGTGGGGTTTTTTTTTTTTTTTTTGTGGAACTTTCCCTCCAGGGGAAAGTTTCTCTTTTGTAAGTTGAGGGCAAAGGGTGGGGATTTTTTTTTTTAGTTTGTGATTTTACATTTATCTGTACATATTTTTTCAAGATTGATCATTTTTATAACCACGGTTTTCCTGAAATTCTCAGCTCAGTATGAAGGAATTGAACCAAATAGACTTTCATTATATGATACATAACAGCACACGTAAGTATAACTCTAACTGGCATTCCACAAAATGTTTTTGATTTCTAGTTTGTCTGATGTACTTTTTAATTCTACACATGCATATACTTCATCTTAACACATTTTAAAAGCTATTTTGCCCTGTCTCTGTTTTCATTGTTAGCCATCTGGAAGTGACTATTGTTTAACACAAATTGTACTGTCGAATTTGGCTTTACGGGTGTAAACACTGACGGCGAATCAGTATCTGAGACCCCAGACTCTCCACACACTCATGGTGCATTTTGTTCTTCAAGTGAAATCTGTGCAATAAAATAACAGACTGTCTGCAAAACTGGCCTTTAGTATTCTGTTGTATCCAGAGGTATCGCATAGTGACTGTAAACAACTAGTGGGGGAAGCCCATTCCTCTGTCAGGCTCCAAAGCCAAAGGTCTAGGAAAGCATCCTGTCTGGCATTTTGTGGTCTTGACAGCCCGCCCCCATTTTGTTGTCTTAAAAAATTGACTTCATTAGTCTCTGGTACTTTATAGGGAACCGGATCAGTGATGCAAGAACAAGTCATTCTGCACCGCCTTGAATAATAAGTTATATTTTCCTCACTATATCATGGTGGTAATGTGAGGTCATAGAAGTGTAACATAGATGCACTCATTTCTTAAGTGGAGTGAAATTAGTGGCATCTTTAAGTCATATATGAATGGGCAGCAATCAGAAACCAGGTGTCAAGCATACACTTTTTACATCTACTTTGAGCCCTTAGTAAAGGAATTGGGTAGGTATGAACAAGTATAAAAACCATTTTATTGGACCTTTAGGTAATAATAATCAAGTGCATTTTGTTCATAGATATTTGAAAATTTTGGGCAAAGACAGACACATTGAGTTGATTTTTGTTTGTTTTCTATTCCAGAAACTCTGTCAAGCTGTGATTCTGCTCCAAAAACACAGATTATAACCCATTCTAGCAGTATTTTTCCAACAATACTAATTTCATTAGCTGATAGTCTGATAATTGGCAAACATTTCCTCTTTGGAAATATCCGCTTTGGCTCATCATTATTGCAGATATTTGTGTACATTAGGAGATTATAACCTGGTGGAAACTATTTCCCAATTACTTATGCAGAAAAGATAATCATCATGTTGATCAAAGTATTTGCTTGTTATGATATCGTTTTTGTAAGGACACAAGTCATGTGATTATATGGAGGACCCTCCTTAACTCAAAAACTCATCAGGTGATAATGATTGTGACCATGAATGGAGCAAAGGTGTTGGGGAATGGGGTGGGCATGTACCAGTAAAGCTTTGGCCCCATACCCCCTCTCCTTATAACCACCAGCTTGAATCAGAGTGTCGAGTCTCTTTCCTCTCCTCTTGCAGATGGATGTGCCCACTCAACCCCCTCCTTCCCTGAGGCTGCTGCTTGCTTTCTCATGGGAGGAGGTGTGTTACATGAACCCCACTTTTCCCTGTAGCAGAAGAGACACCCCAGATCTCTCCTAGATGACCAAATTAGGGAATTCCATTTTGTAGGTCATAACTCCAGTGTGGGAAAGAGAAATATCTATCTGTTCAGGAGAAATATACTAGGAGCCATATATGTAATTTAAAATTTTCTAGGGCCAGTCTTAAGAAAACTAAAAACAAACAAGTAACATTCATTTTAATGTATTGCATGTAATCCAATACAGCCAAAATATTATATTAATATGTAAACAATTATTAGTGGGATATTTTACACCTTTCTTTTTGTTTGAAATCTTTAGATTCTTGTGTATATCTGACCCTTACAGCACATCTCAATTGGCTGGCCACTCCTTAAGTGCTCAGTGGCCACATGGGGCTTGTGGCTATTGGATCGGACAGCACAGCAGGTCTGCCTCAGTAACCACAAAGAGGGATTCAGCCTTGATGATTTTGTCTACTCTTATTAGAGCTCCATTAGAATTTGGCAATAACAGTGTCAATAATAGTCACCTGGTGAAAGACAATGACTCTGATCGCAGGTAAAATGGCAGACCCAAAGTGCTCTACCTGAATAATAGGGAAAAGGGAACTCATGTTCTTGAGACCTGTTAGTGCCAGGAACTTCACACCTTTAAGGATTCCACAGTCCCCGTTGTATAGGTGAGGAAAATGAGATTTAGAGAGTTTAGATTGTCAAGGTCAGATAGCCACTCTATAGACTTAAAATTCTATGTAATTCTAACTCTAAAGCCCTAGTTCTCCAACTCAAGAATCACTAGTATAAAGACAGATAAAATGCAGATTCACCCTCTTCACCTCCAGAGATGGACTCTGGGTGGGAACCCCCAAATCTGCATTTTTATTGCATGCCTTCTGGTTCTGATGAGGTGGTCGCCATGCCACACTTTGAGAAGCAGTGAGGGACAGGCTTCTTCTCATGCCTGTCCGTAGTGCAGCCATTCCCCTCTTTTGTCCTGGCTGGTCCTCAGCACGGAGATGACTTTGAGAGTCACATCCAGCTTCCCTCCGCTCCGGCTTATTCTGAAGAGACCGCATGCAGGGGATCTTTGAGTTGAAATGGACCTGATTAGCTCATGCTTTCCAAGAATTGAATGTAAACCAAATTAGAGAAAGAATGCTTCAAGGGAATCTCTGAATCTAGGGGTGCTAGTTACAAGACGGCAACAACAAAAAAGGAGAAGATTGTGTACTGAAGAATACAAGTTACAGATTTGTGCTGGATTGGTGGTGTGGGATAACAATAGAACAAGGTTTGGTTGTATCTTGCCCTGTGTGTGTGTGTTTTTTTTTAAATTTCAAACGTGCGTGTCAGTGTTTCTCTATACACTGTACACAGTGTGAACTGCACCATCTTAAATGTTTGGCAGGACATTCGTGCTCATGACATCACATGCTGGGAGGACAGGGAGGCCACTGTGGGGCTGGCCCCGGGGAGAAGCAGCCTCAGAGCTGCCATTGAGATGTCCCCACAAAAGAGTGTGTGACGGCCAGATGTGCAGCCGAAGGAGACTGGACCGGGATTGTGGGGGGAACATTGGCACATGCTGCTTGGGCCTTGAATAGCAGCTCTTGAGGAATCTATATTTCTCTACCTCGACGCAGACTCTGAGAGCTCAGGCTTTGTGGCCTGTGGCTGGGGGAGGGGATGGAGACGGAGGGACCTGTCACTGCTCCGTGCCCCATTGTTGGAATGAAAAATGTGGAAATGTTAAGCCACTTCTAGAGGGTTGTGGGAGGTAAGCATCGCTTATGCTTCACGTCCAAATTACCTCCCAAAGAGCAAGGAACATCAGTGCTCACAGCCTGGGGCGTTCTTTAAGTAAAATGGTTATTTCTCTTCTGTTGAGTGATATACAGCTTTGCTTTTCAAACGGTAAAGTGCATACAGATCATCCGGGGACCTTGCTAACATGCAGATTTTGACCCAGCAGATCTGGGATTCTGCATTTCTGACAGCTCTCAGGGGATGCTGATGTTGATCTAGCCTCACAACTGGAGTAATAGAGGATTTTTGAACACTGTAAAAAAATACAAATAAGAAAATAAAACGTACCCATCATTTCATCATTAGAGTGATTTCTTTTTTATATATTCTTGGTCATCATTTTATTTTAAAACAAAACCGTTAACACATTCTACATAGAGTTTTGTAACCTGCTTTAAAAAATCTTTTTATATGTAGAGAACACTTTCTATCTCTTGAAGTATTTTTCTAAAACAACATTTTTAACAACTGCATAATCTTCCATTGTTTGGACGTACCATGGTTTAGTCAAGGAGTTCCCAAGAATATCGTGGTTATCCTGATACCCTTTTAAATTTTTTCTAAGTAATTTTGCCATGAACATCCTTATAGGTAAATCTTTGCACATACACATGGTGATCTCTTTAACATAAGTTCCTAGAAAGGAATTGTTGGACTGCATATTCCAGAAGTGTTTTAAGAACAGTTTATTGTCTTGCTGGGAGGGGGTTCCTGGCTTCCCCCAGCTCCTATAATAGAATGCAATATATCAATTTAATATGTTGTTTTTTAAAGTTATTTGAAATATTTAAAATTTCAGTAATGTTGGTATGGGATTATATAAGAAAATACTTATACTAGCCCTGGCTGAGTGGGTCAGTTGGTTGGAGCATTGTTCAGTACACCAACAATGATTGCAGGTTGCAGGTTTGATTCCTGGTCTGGGCACATACCTAGGTTTCGGGTTTAATCCTGGGTTGGGTGCATACGGGAAGCAACTAATTGAAGTTTCTCTCTCATGTCCATGTTTCCCTCTGTCTCTTTCTCCCTTCCTCTATCTCTAAAATCAATAGAAACATATCCTCAGGTGAGGATTAAAAAAGAAAAATAGCTATAATAAATGGTTTACAAAAAAATGTCAAAAGTATTTATGATAAGAGAAAAGGTATGAAGTGGGAAGGCTGGGGTTTG